TCGCCGACCCCCTCTTGACCTTCTCCTGGACCCAAGGGTGTGCCATGCAAATTTTGGCTGCTTTAGCTCTTACAGGGACTGAATGCATGGAGAACAAACATACAAACAAACTTTCTTCTTTATATATATAGATATAGAAGTACAATTAAAAAATGATTATCACATTCTTTAGAAGATTCGGACTAATAGAACTAAGGTGATAAATGTAATACAACCTCTATATAATAATATGCATCGCTTCGAAATTATATTTTAAAAAAAATTTATGAAACATCTAGGGATGTCAATTATTAATAGAATGTAAAAATTCTCACCTTTAATATCTTCAGATTCGTCATCAGTACACCGAGTAAAAAATCCAGACATGCGCAATTCTTGAAAATAATCTTCATCGAGACGATACTTCTTATTATACCGTTGCTTAGCTGTTTTCAGCACATCTATTGACGGTACTTCAGTAAAATTGCCTTCTTTCAGAGGATCTTCATTAGCATATCGTAAATTACGCTCATAAACACCTAGCGCTCCTATTTTTTGAACTTGTTTCATCAAAATAATTATTTCAATACGAAATTTTTAAAGAAAAAGAATGGCAATATATCCATCGCTTCTCGAACATCGCCAGTTAATTGACAAGCCATGGTCTCCTCCTTTGAAGGGTGATTTTTATCGCCTATAATCACCACCTTAAATAAACATGGACTGGCTTTGTTTTTTGGTTCATCTTCAGCTTCGACCGTAACTTTCACAGGACATTTTTCACCTTTACAATGGCCTCTTCCACTGAACAAATTGCACTTCTTTTTTTGTGAATTTTTTCCTCGAACATGGTGGTATCGAAACACAATAGCGCAAGTCATGCCGAGCCGAATAAAATGCGGATCAAGTTGATTTCCCCAATTATCATGCACATCACCCATTTTATGGTTGTAGAAAGTACGCCATTGCTCATAATTCATTGCAAAGTGATGTACATAACGAGGAGCTAAAATATCTTTTGACGAATTGTTAATAAAGAAGCATTGTTAAGCATCTAAATATAAACAAAAAGAATCACATTCAGTTCTGGTTTTCTTAGATTGTAAATATTTATGATATCTTATGTCGTCAACTTTTTACGTTATGTTACTGATTCACAAAAATATGCGCATAAATGGTAATTACATTGCTCGTTGATTAAAGCTTTTCTTTCTCGCAACTATTTTAGATAAATTACAAATACAAAACAGACGAAAAAAGGCTTACCGTCTCTACATGTGAATGATTGTCTTGTTCATCCTTATTAGATGTTCGACTTAAATTTTCTAGTAGACCATTAACTTGTGTATTGAAGAATGTTGTGCGGACCAAACCTAAAAAAGTAACGAAGCTTCCAATTTAATCCAAAACGATATAAGTCGAATTTTTCGTATTCACCGTTCTGACTCATTTATCACAAAAACGAACTCCGTTGTACACTTCACGACAATCAATTTCATTCGATAAATAATATTAAAAAATCACTGTTTGATTCAACAAATTTTCTCGTTGTTGGCAATCAATCTGATATTCCACGTGTATTGCCAGGACCGTCTAATATTATACTCAGACATAAAGAATAATAAAATCGGATTTGACTTCCTAACAAACGCTGAGTTAAGGTTATTTTTAACTACAATTATATCTTCCATCGACAAATTTTATAAAATTAATGATCTTTCTGAATCACTTAATCTTTTCTCTCAACTTATTGCTGCTCAATCAATATATATTCTTCGTTCGTGTCCGATTCGTCGAGAAAGTGTCTCAGCCAATCAACCATGTTTTATTGTCTCTACATTATTTTTACGTTCGTCGATAGAAAGTAACATTCCAATTTCAGTCTATCGCTTTATTTCTCTGCCGGTAATTGTTAATGGTGAGCAATTCATATATTCGAATATACCAGAAATAATTGAGATCAACACAGATGATTATTCAATAATATCTTGGAATAACACACCAAAACAAAACGAATGCCTATTTTCTTTTTTTATTTATTGTCAAAGGAAGCCATTGGTCATTCCATTATCTCATTCTTCATGCTTATCTGAATTGTTTATCCATACCTTACATATCGTTAACTCATGTCAAGTGACACGTTCTCGCGCACTACAAACTGATGTTATAAATATTGACAGTAACATTTGGCTTTTTTTTCACAATGGAGACCCACTTTATTGTCATCTTCATTCAACTATTGGTGAATTTAAAGGTGTGATTACGATTAATGAACCGTCAATCGTACGAATGCCTTGCAGTAACACAATTAAATGTACAAACACTGAATTACCATCGTCTACTTGCACCAATCGTAGTATATTAATTAAATCAACAGCTACTAAAAATTATGAGCAGCTATCGACTATTCCATGGCCAATTCAAAACGTGATGAAACGACTAATATCGACTTATAAACTCACGATTAAAAATTCGTTAAAAGATATTCTTACTGATTTGAAAGACAATCGTATTTCTATGAGGACGGCTATTATCCAAATTGGTGCACTCATATTGTCACTAATTTTTATCGTTCTGCTATCAATTGCTTTCATCTACATTGAACGAATACGGTCTAAGAATAACAAACGTGCAGATAAACTTGAAAGTGATGTGTGTAATCTTGCACATGTATTCGTTAATTCGTAAAAAAACCATATTGTTTGCATAATCCATAAACTTCATCTGTTGTTAACGGTTTTTTTTCTATCAATAAAAACTGACTGCTTCATACTGTATTTTTCACACTGGTACTGTCAAATATTTAAAGTATTTAAGCCCAAACCCCCATTTTATGGCCGATGACCCCCATTAAAAATATGACTATTCGATGCAGAATTTAATTCTACATCTAACCCAAGTAATTAGACCCAGGTCGAGGAGCGAATATCAGCAGGGATTACTCGAATCCGCTGCTAACTTTCCCTACGTAGTTAGAATATGAAATAAATAAAACGCGTTAGATAGCACATTTCTCATTCGATGTGTGTGGCGAAGAAAAATTCGCGGACTAATTTCTGATGATGTATGAAACTCATAGGAAAAAGAATATAGATTAATTACGTTTAATGAAGAATGAATTCAAGGGTACTGAGAACTTTCATTAAAAGGAATTTTATCGAAAGATACTTATCGAAATTTTTCACTATAAGGTATGATTACGAGAGCAGAGCCGAGATAGTGCATAGGAAAGCTCTTTTTGAGGAGAAAAACTATGAACCAAGAGTCAAAAATATTTTCAATGAACTATTTTTCTATGAAATAGTTTTCTATGAAAGTTCAGTTAATCGAATTGAAGTAACTCGGTAATAAAGATAAACATTGATATATAAGTTTAGTTTATTAATAGTATTTTTAATCGCTGTTAGAAAATATGCTACAAAATAAGCCAGAAGGCTAAAATTACGAAAAACTTCGACCCAAAATGAAGTTTTTGCCAAGGTAATATCGTTTGCATTCAGGATAAACGTGATCAGCGCACAAAAGTTTTAATTAGCACATACTAATTTTAATTAGCCCTACCACTGTCAAATAAAATTTAAAGCGATAGCTCATACAAAGAACGAAATATACCACACCACCATCAGATGAAAAATGAGGTTCATGCACAGGTAGTGCGTAATATATTCTCGAACAAAAGAAGGTCTTTAACAAAATACATAAAAGACTGTCAACAATTTTTCTTTTAATTAACGCTTATACACATTTATCATTTTACATAAAAACAAAGCCGATATTTCAATAAGATATATGAAGAAGACACGAATCATGCTGTCAATACATAATTTTATTTAATTATCTGTTTATAAAACTTTGTTATTTGGAAGTTTCGATCCCAAAAAAATTGAAAAAGTTTGTATTACTAAAATAATTTTGCAATAAAAATATTTTGTAAATAGATATTTAAATAAATTTATGTCTTGTCAACAGCATTCATGTCAATGTGAAATAGCGTATAAAACAACTTGTGGTTATCGCATCTGTTAACCCTTTGGGTCCGGGTGACGAGAATTCTCGTCCTGATATTTTGCACTCTGAATAGCTTTCGTAAATATTACGTATTGATTATTCAATGAAATGAATGACCCAACTTTGTCTTCTGATCTCAAATATGTTATTAGTTTTGCTTGAAAATATATGGGGAGTGAAAATGGTGCAAAGTAAATGAAATAACAAAGGTTGGAGGGTAAACATGTAATCTTCCTGACAAAAGTTTCACCATGTTTTACGGAACCATAGGTTTCCATGATTATTTTTCGTGATTATGATGTACATTCAATGCAAATACTATAGTACAAAGAGTGACCCTTAGTTCATCACTCTCGCTCTTCTACATATGTTTGAATCGTGGGTGCTCGTCCTCAATGAATTTTCAGAACCACACTATAGTTAACCTTCATACTTTGGCTGAATAGTCTACAGACACTGTTGAGTCTTTGGTGCGAATTTGAAGTCAAAACGATGCTCCTAGATGGAATTGTGAATTTTTTTCGCAAAGAACCTCGAATTTCCAACAAAAAAAAAAAACAATCTCTCCAGTAAAATAGCTGTATTTCACTAACTCCTAACAGCCAGCTCACGAAATTCATATCATCGATAGAGTAGAGTCGTGGCTGCATTTTTGTACAAAGAAAAGTTTTCATCTCTCTCAGGTCAGGAGCTATTGATATTTTACGGAAAACACATAAATTGCTTATTTCTCATGAACCATCCAGTAACAGAGTCCCAAAGTTGGTGAGTGATCAGCATTCAGTGAGAGCTATGACCCCGCAGACTTAGAAGTTCCTAGCTACTATAGGTCTTGAGTTACAGGGGTATCGCTACTTTTGAGGGATTATTTTTTGACAAAATAATCCCGGACTCAAAGGGTTAAGCAATTTCATGTAAAAAAGAAAAAGTCAACAATTAGAACAAGTGTTGATTATATGATCTGCAATGGAAGAATACAATGTTTTCAGAGAAGCGAATACGATTTTAGACTCCTATTGGAGTGAAGAAAGCTGTATACAATCACAATATGTTCATAGTGATGAAGGAGAGTGCCTAACACGACATGTAATCAAGGGACAAACCCTGTCTCTCGTTGTATGATTTGATCATATTTCGTAATGGATCGTAAATGTTTTTATTCCACTTCTTCCTGTAAGATAAATATATAGTGAGAACAAATATGAGAAGAAACGTGCAAATGACGAGCGAACTAAGTGGACCAAAACGATTAATTATAGACCACCAAAAGAGGGTTTGATCTCGAAATTGTTTGTGTCGTGCGAATAGCGAATAGTTCGAGGTACGTTCTTATCCGTGAGACTAACTGACTGCATTGACGTGACCATATTACCAGTATCGGAAAGAAATTCAGATGTGGTTGACGTAATAAATAGATTAGGCTTTGTAGCAGTAGTAGCAGTATCAAGAATGCCATCATGCATTTTCAGGTATCTAGTAACTACAAAATTGTCAATGAAAACAAAGGCGCCCGTCTAAATGATAATGTTTTGCTCGGAGCGAAGTGGATGGACTCAGCACTGGATATTTCGAGTAATTTAATATTGAAGTCTGAATTGAAATATCGTTCAAGCATTTGTACAAATGCGAGTCTAGTACGCTTGCGTAGATTATTAATATTCATATTAACATTTTTCATATCGTCAGCAGAGGATACAATATCTCGAATAATAACATGTTCTTTAGTCAAGTTCAAACCATCGTCAGATAAAACTGTCTTCAATTGTATTCGAGTGTGGACCATCATCATTATTATCGAAATGTTGTCTTGAAAAAAATTGGGAGAGTCTTTCAATTTCTTGAACAATTGGAGTATCTGTGATCAGTTGATAATGGATTATTATATAGCCCGTAACAGGCGGATATTCATGGAAATAATGTACGTGATAATGATGAGCATGCATCTTTGGATAATGGAAAAATCGTAGAAATCAATGTTATGGTATTTTCAGTAAGTATTTTAGATGAGTGTGCTGATAGCAGTATAATAATAATGCCGTACAATGACAGAGAAACCATTTTTTTTTCCGAAAATATTATCGAAGTTTGTATTAGAACACCGTGTCTAGTTCGAAAAAAATTCAAGCGATATTATCTGTTCCTTTTACATTTTATCATTTAACAATTTACAATAGTACTTTTTTGCTACTCAAAATTCATTATCTCAAGTTACTTTGTGTATTCTATGTGATCTCATTCTGAGCACAGACGTTTATCTGCATACACTTAAACAGTCAACTTGATTCAGTCTTATAAAAACATTTCATTTTTACGGGATGAGGTGAAGAAAAGTTCACATAGTTAGTTTAAAAATATGCGTTCTATAGACAAAGAGACCCCTTCGTCAAATAAAGATTAAAAGTTTATCTTATCCAAATTGTCTTATTGAAGGTCGATTAGACAGTAAGTATAACGTCCTTTATTAATGAAAATCAGCATTTACGGACAGTAAATAATACGATACAATAGGAAACTCTGACTTCCTGGTAATAAAGATACCCATAATTTTTCATGTCAATATCTGGAAATTCTCGAGACTTGTGTCTGAATGTGGCTGGTCATAGAATTCAATTTTCCATCTGCAGAGTGAAAGTCAGTTAGACTTTCGATTATCTCTTTACGGTTTGTATTCTCAAAGTTTTCCTTAGATCAGAAATCTAAGCTGCTGCTTTAAGAGAGATTTAGATTTTCCTCTAACGTTCTCAGTTTTTAGAGGATACTTTGAAGTAAATGTTCTGAAGCTTTTTTTGGCTTACTGGCATTATTTGGCTGAGAAAAAAATTAATTACTTAAAAAAGTATTGTTAAGTTTTTGAAAAAGGAACTATTATTAAAAAAGTTCCTATCCATTCTCCATTTATCGTTAAAACTTGGTTCGTGCCTAGATCGATAGAGAAATTTGTGGAGAATATTTACTACGAGAAAATATGTAAAAATGTTTATTCTTTCCTTCTTGTTATTGACTAATTAGTACTAATTAATATTGAATTTACCTACTCTACGAGTTAAAGTCCCATTTGTAAAATAACGACTAAGCAAAAAATTCAAGCAATACCTCATTTGATAGAGAATTTCACGAGCTACAAGATAAACTGTCTTAAAAATTTTAGAATTCAGTTTTGGCTGCTGAGTAAGTCTGGTAAATCGAAACTTTAACAACATGTTTTTAAGTAATTAATTGTTTTCTCAGCCGAATAATGCCGGTACGCCGAAAAAACCTCAGAACATATATACTCGAAGTGTCCTCTACAAACTGGGAAAATTTAACAAAAAAATTAAAAATTATATAATTTCTCTAATTTTTAGCTAGGACAAAATATTTTCACAACACCTTGCTTCTAGTTTCTCGAAAAGGAAGCATTCTGAAGCAAAGGTGTGACTGCAAAAGTTCTTCAGAATTATTTTCTATTGTATACAACTTTGCTCGCTCGAAATTCCTTTAATTAAGCTCCAGTTTAAGGAATTTCGAGCCAGCAAAATCGTATTCAACAGAAAATAAGATTCTGAAGAACTTTTGCTCCAAACTGTTTCGTTTTCGTAAAACTACAGACAAAGTCTTTTTCAAAATACTTTTAGCCTTAAAATTACACCAGGAAGTTAAACGTTGAATTTCTCCGTCAAACGTCAGCCTGATACGATAAATACTTTTTCATGTATACAACTTAATGTCCTCTATTTGATGACGCGACAAACAAGTTTTCATTTTAAAATTTAAAGATTTTATTTAAATTTCAAAAATTTGGATAAAAAACCTGAATAAAACTTCAGAAATTTTTTCTCATAAACCACAAGTCTAGGAATCGAAAAAATTGCTGAGTATGTACTTCAGACGGCTCTACAAACTGGCGGAAAAACCGGCAGGGGAATCCCCTTAATTCACAGATTTCTTAAGCTTGACAAGTTAAAAATATTTTTAGATAACAGAATAATCAAGATGAACATGTTGTGTTCTACAAAAGACACCTATAAGGCTTTCTGGCGCACTTTTAGAAAATCGAGACTTGTTTTCGTAGGTTTTAAGAGAAAATTCAGTTCTGTCAGAGAAACAAGAAGCGGCTTTAAATAGTGTGCTAACATATACTCATCTTGATAGTACAGAGAAAGTCTGTTTTGAACTGCAGCTTCTAGAAATCAGCAAACCAGATAATAGCACTAATACACTGATGCTCAGGATTCTTCCAGATGTAAAACAGGAGAGACTGGTAAATAACCTTCACTGGACGGTTTATTTTCCTCTATATCACAGACAATTCTTATTGAAACACTAACAGAATAAGTGAAGGGAATTTTTTACTTAAAGAAATAAAATTCGTGTAACACGGATTTTATGTTATACGGACTCTGTTTATATACGTATCTTATTATTATAAAGATACGTTATATTTTGAAATACAAAAATAGGCTTACAGTAAGTTAACCTTCGCGTGTCAATTAAGTTTTCCTCAAAACAGGTGAAGTTACTTTAAGTAACCAATTGTTTATTTTTCAGATGTTACCACAGCGATGTGGGCTGTGCTATGAACAATGTGACCATGTATTGTGCACTGGCTATGCCACACTATCTCGATATGAAATTTTCACAACATGCTTAAGCAAAATAAATGCTGCAACAGTTAATTTTCGTGAAATGAAAGACGCGTGCACAAAACTGGTACCCGTCATTCAGCATTTTGCTTTCGATTTTAACCCACTAACCGAATTTGATCCGACAGTACATAAACAAGATCGAAAAGCACAAGAATACATAGCTTATTGTGAGGATATGTCGGATGATCCTAACGATCAGAAATTATTCTCGGACATCTATGGGATATACCTTCATCGCGATTTATGTAGATGGTAATGATAATTGCCTCTACAACGCAATTTCCTCTCTCGCATTAATGAATAATGATTTCACAATTGAGCTTCGCGTACAAAACACCGGTGAGGTGAGCAGTTTTATTAATGAGCGTGTAACTTTTCAGAAACTTGATTTTCACGCAGAGTACACATTTTCGAGAGTCCTACGATAATCATGATTTTTACCTATCTGTTTAAAAGGGTGTCCTCCCATTTAGATTTTCTTTAAGATTTCCCAGTTTGTAGAGGATACTTTGAAGTATATGTTCTGAAGTTGTTACGGCTTGCTGACATTATTTGTCTATGAAAAAATTTAATTACTAAAAAAATGGTGCTAAAGTTTTGAGCACAGGGCTACTATTGCAGAATTTCCTGGTCGTTTCTCTTTTATCATAAAAATTTGGTTCTCATCTAGATCGATAGAGAAATGTGCGAAGAATGTTTGCTATGGGAGAGGAAGTAAAGGCTTTTGCCTTTTCCTTCGTGTTAATAACTAATTAGCACTTTGCAGAAACATTTGTATTGTCAACGGCCGTTACGACACTTTTTTGTCTATATTATACATATCAAATTACAGCTTGAGAAATTCTCTATCAGATGCGAAAAGAATGACTTGATCATCCTCTACTTTTTGTTGTTTACGAAGAAAAATCCACAGATGAGAATGATTTAATTTCAAAAAGATAAAAAACGCTTTTTTCTGAATGAAAAAAAGTAATTCCATTGACTAAAAATTATACAACCGAAAATGTCTGTTTGTCCGTTAGCAGGGGAGACGAATATCTTATTTTCTCATCCAGGAAGACACCTATAGCCATGAAACTTTCACAATACAGCTAATCGACTATGGTGAATCAGAAAATCCCTATGAAGTATCACTAGGATTGATTTTCTTAGTCAAAACTTTATTTCAATTCGAGCGGATTAAAATGATATGGAATAGGTATTCGACTACAGAGGACCGATTGAGATGGGTTTCAGAGTTATGGGCAAACTCTAGATCGGAAGGTTTCTAAGGCAACTGTCTCCAAAGACATTTCCAAGGTTTTATTTTTTCTATGCTGCTGTCTGAGTGAAATATTAATCTTCGGGCTTTTGACAGCCAACATCAGACCCTTGAAAATCGAACCAGTTCATTTTTAAGGTTTAAAGATTTTTCGATAGAAAAAAAATGCTTTCTGACACTTTACCTTTATGATCTTTTCGTTATGCCGTTATTTTTCGAATGGGACCTTAACCTAGTAGAGAAGACTAAATTAACGTTAATTAGTGCTAATTAGTTATTAACACGAAGGAAAAGGCAAAAGCCTTTACTTCCTTTCCCATAGCAAACATTCTTCGCACATTTCTCTATCGATCTAGATGAGAACCAAATTTTTATGATAAAAGAGAAACGACCAGGAAATTCTGCAATAGTAGCCCTGTGCTCAAAACTTTAGCACCATTTTTTTAGTAATTAATTTTTTTCATAGACAAATAATGTCAGCAAGCCGTAACAACTTCAGAACATATACTTCAAAGTATCCTCTACAAACTGGGA